GTGAGTTTAATGTGCACTCTCAAATGTTTTCTATCAAGGCTCTACATGTTTTGCTCTCAACTGCTATTACGTCCCCGGCTCTCTAGGAGAGATGAGAAGGGGGGTAATAAAAGTAGTGTGTGGATTTAATAATAGAGTGCAGTGTCGCTTAAAAACAAGAATTTTATTACAAAACGAATGGAGTATTTACAAAGAACCTAAAAAGCAATACTATATACAAAACAAAAGGGGCTATGTTCAAAAAGGAGAAACGAAAGACGCCACCCCAGAAGTGGTGGGAATTTATAACCGAGAATATAAATGTATATTCAAAAGGGGAGATCCGGGGTCTAAGTCCAAAGCCGGTCCGGAAGTTTATAAGCCAAATGGTCAAATCCTAAATTATCCAAATCCTAGTGAGAGCAAACCGAAGACTAGCAAGTGAACTGAGTTGTACCAAAAGCGAACAAATCGAGAAGAGAATAGTGTAAACTGTTACCAGTCTACACTACCCTTGGACCTTCTCCAAGACTGAGGGAGGAGAGCAGCTTTTAACAGCTGCTCCCTGATTACTGATTCCGAACAGCTGAGATTAGAAACAGCTGGCACTGGGAGATAAGCAAGGCAAAAGCCACTGAGGCCATCTTGTGGCCAAAGAGGGGCACGGCTATCTAACACACACAAAAAAAAACCTAACTAAACTACCCCTGGATCACAGAAGGCAGGCAGATTAAACACAATTAATCACGCGGCGCTGTTCCCCAGCGCTGTGGAGTGTTCCCGAGATGTCTGCTTGCGCAGAGAAAACTAGTCTTATATGTGATCCTACGTCTAGAAAAGACAAGCCTATAAGGGAGCCTCATGACTAAAACTGCATGATAGCGCGGTCGTGATGAGGTTGACAGAGCCCTTCTCGTAGCGAATCTCCAGGTTGACTTCCTGGAGCAGGAGGTCCCACCAAATCAGCCGCTGGCCAGTCTAGAGGGTTGTGCCTGAAAGAAATAATAGGAATCAATGAACGGTTTCCAACTCAAACTGGAAAATGTTACAGATCCCCTCTGAGTGAGAAACTGTGCGTGGTTGAACTTCCCAGAGAAACGGCATACTAGAAGACCAAGCCCGGTGTCATCCTCCTGGATGAGGACAGCTCCAGCCCCTTCTTGGCTGGCGTCGTCTTCCAGCTTGAAAGGTCGGGTGAGATTTTGAGCAACTAGAACAGGAGAACAGAGGAGGTTTCGCAGAGACACAAGTTTGACATTCCGGAGTCCATGAGATATGAATGCGAGGATTCAACGTATTGGTCAGAGGTTGAGCCACAACAGAGAAGTTCCCCTCGAGCAAAACGGGACGCCAGACTTAGATCTGTTTTCTGAACATCAGCCGATGATTTACAAGAAACGGACGAAACCACTCGAGGACCTCTAGAGGCCAGACCAGGTGTTTTTACAGCCAGATCCGTCTCAGCAACAGCAGTCAACATCTTAAACACCGAGTTGGTAAGCGAAACTTCCGGGTCTTTAAGCGAGGCGCGAGGCAGCACACAAGCAGGTAGCTTATCCAAACCTACCCCGATTTCAGGCGAAGAACTGAGTTCAGGAGGAGGTAACACTAATCCACCAACAGCGTCATTTCCCAAAATCAGGTCTACTCCCTGGATCGGCAACTCATCTAAAATGGCTACCCTTAGGTCACCAGTAGTCAAGGGGCAAGTGAAGTGAGTATGATGAACCTAAGCTGGAACCGAACCCATGTCAATACCCCACAACAACACAGAAGAACCAACTTGACTGGTTACAGAAAACTGTAACATACTCCGTTTAATTAGGGTCTGGGAAGCACCTGTATCTCTTAAAATCACCACTTCCTGGTTAATATCGCTGCCCAGCAGAGACACCACCCCAGCAGACAAAAACGGCTTAAAACTTGAGTGAGGGGTTTCACAGTTATCCAACCTGTTTGAGATAACAGCACACGCAGCGACTGTCTTCGGTGGAGGTGGTTTCACGCTCCTCCGTTTTTTCCGCTGGAGACAAAAACAATCCCTAATGAATTACCTTTTTCGTGATAATAGAAACATTCTGGAAGGTCACTAGGGTCAGAGGAGGTGTCAGAGGGTCTCCTACGTCGACCGGGGTCAGCTCTGGACTCCCAAGGTGGATGTGTTAGCGCGAACTCATCTGCTAACAGGGCCGCAGCAGAGAGAGTTGAGACCTTCTGTTCATTCAGATACATAACAAGCCTCTCAGGCACGTGTCTTTTAAACTCCTCCACCATAATTAGTTCTTTCAAGTCACCCAAAGAGTTTACCTCTGAGGCAGAACACCATTTTTCAAAGAGGACTGATTTCTCATGAGCATATTCAACATAAGTCTGGTTAGGCCGATGTTTCTCAGAACGAAAGCGCTGACGATAAGCCTCAGGAACGAGTTCATACTAGGGCTGCACGATATTAGGAAAACCTACGATATTCGATAACAGTTCTTAATATTGCGATATCGATATTACTCACGATAAATGAACAAATACTAAAGTATGCAGTGTTGATGTCGTCTGGCGAGTGACGTCTGCTCTGGGTTCAAAGCAAACAAAAACTAATGCATGAATTCCATTACAACATAACATTTTATAGCAAAAATATGCAGCTGCACCTGCTACTGTATTAGCAGCAAAACAACAAACTGCATGCATGCAGTTTCTCAGTGACTTTAAAACATCACCTCCACCATAAAACATTTTCTGATGCTCCAAATACAGAAAAACATCCCTTACCAGGGTTTTTTTTTTTTTGAATAAATAAAATCAGAAAATAAGTTTAAATGTTAAATAATAGTTAACATCACTTAAATGCAACAGCAAATTCTCTCATTGCTACTGAACATTTTCTCCACTTATGTGGTTATGGTATAAGGCTGTTGCTGTAATTGGGAAGTGAACTGTGCTGGGCCAAACTAGGAGAATATTAAGATTTTCTGAGGGAAAGAGAAAAACAATCGTCTACCTTTCAGAAGAGGAACTGGCAAAAAACTACATGGAAAATATGTGAAAACGTTTGTTTTTAACCCCAAATTGAACAAGTCTCCTAAAGTTCCTCCCACCGAAGCTAGAATTGAGACAAAATGATCTGTAACACTGTAGATTTGAGGTTTGTACCTGTAGAATGAAATGTGTGTTTTGAGAGTTTTGATTTCAAACTTGTAAATTGATTTTTTTATTTATTTTGGAAGTCTGCTAGGTAAAAACCGAAAGTTTCATGTTTCTGAATGAATGTTTGATGTTACAAAATGAGCAGTAAATGTACAAAATAAAAGTTTGATTTTACAAAATAAAAAATACACGTACAAAATGAAAATGTCCTGTTACAAAACAAGAAATACAATAACAAATTAGAATAACAAGTTAGAAAACTAAAGTTACAAGTTACGAATCCAAAGTTACATGTCATGAAACATGTTCCAAGTTACAAAACTTGGTACAAGTTACATTGAATATTGTCCCAATCCTAGCTCCATATTACTGCAGGGGTGGGGAACCCTGGTCCATCGAGGACCGCTATCCAGCATATTTTAGTATCAGCCCTGCATCATCACACCTGATTTCAATGAGCAAGTGATTAACAAGCTTCTGTAGAGCCTGACTAGCTGGAGAACAGATGAATCAACCACTGAATCAGAAGTGTTGGAGCAAAGACATGCAGGATACCGGCCCTCGAGGGCCAGGGTTCCCCACTCCTGCCTTACTGGAATGTAAACTGGAATGTCAACAGCTTTGGTGAAACTTGTCAGATCAGTGATGGATTAAAATAGAACAACTGGCTGTAACAATTTGATTGATTTGCATCTTTCCTGACATAATTCCTCCCTTATTTACACAAATTAATGTAATTCATGAAGAAAAAAAAGGGCTGTCCTTTTGGGTGGTTTTCATCTGCAGGTAGTTTCAAGCTAGGAACAAGCAACAATACTGTCACCATCTGGCAGTAATACCTCCTAAGTAAAGCCGATTTTAAAGTCAGGCACATCCTCTGGCAGCCCGGTGCTGCTGCAGAATTTAATGTAAAAGCTTAATTCTGTTTGAATAAAATATGCATAAGTGCTCTAAAACTAAAATTTATTTTTATATACCAGCTTTGAATATTTAGTACTTGGTCAGGGAATCGGTCTGTTTGAATAACGTTAGTTAATTTTAACACTGAGCAGTGCACAAACTTAGGATTTAACAGTTAGTTACATTCAACTGACGTTATTAGTGACATTTACCATGCAAATAAGGTGGAAAACGTCGAGGTATCTGCTTTGAAAATCAGCCTATAAGAAATCTGCAGCACATATCAGCTGACCGTGACCCATAACGGTCCACCTTTAGTCTGTGAACAAATGCCTTGTAGCTCATTCTCTGTAAGGGAAAAAGGCTCAGGAAGTAGACGTTTGTCGTAGGAGTGGGTAAAAGTCAAACAAACAATAAGCCAGTCTCATTCTGTGAGGGGATAAAAAAATAACTTTTAGGGTCTTGTCAATAATTATTTGAAGGCTCATCACTGGTGTGTGTTTGCAGAGTTTTTGATCTCTGTGTTGGACTGGTAATTTTGAGAAGCTAATGCTATACGGAGGAACTAATGCTACAAGAAGGAGAGAAATCCGCTCAGCAAAGCGGTTTCAGACCAAACAAGAGAGCTGTGGATCCCTGATCCAGTTGTAGAGGCTACTCGATAAAGAAAATACTCTTGACTGTGACAGAAACCGTCTGTCCTGAAGCCTGGTAACCAGCTTGTCCTCATGCACATCTATAACTCTCCGGTTTCTTTCCCTCCTACTCTGTTTTCACCTCGTACACAGGACACAACCCAGGAAAAGGAAGAGGGCGTGGCTCTAAAACAGACTTGGGTCATCTCTTTTTCTCCCCCCCCAGCTCTCACATTATTTATGGTTGCAGTCCTCCTCTTGTCCTCGTTTGAACTCCATTCCAGCTAGTGTGCAGTGTGTCAAGCCTTAGCATATAGACTCATCCAAGTGTTTTGTTTACAGATGGCTGCTATCCGAAAGAAGCTGGTGATAGTTGGGGATGGCGCGTGTGGGAAGACCTGTCTGCTGATCGTCTTCAGCAAGGATCAGTTCCCAGAAGTCTACGTCCCGACTGTATTTGAAAACTACATTGCTGACATTGAAGTTGATGGTAAACAGGTAAGTTCATCAATACAATGAATATATTTGTTAAAATTGACACACAGAATCAATCATATTATGTTAAACTTGGAGGAAAATATTGACACTGCACACGTCTTGACTCTTCATGAGTCGTGTTCGAGGTAAAGAGTTGATCTTTTATTTACATGTGTGGGGAACACAAAGGTTCCTTAACATTAAGACACTTGTAGCTCTCAAACAGCAGGTTTGTAGTTTGTTTATATGAACAGAGACAAGTGTAGTTGGATCTTTTCTGCAACTTTTACTCTCCAGATTTGAAATCATTTATTCGTTTTAGATGAGAAATGCTCCTCGGAGCAAGTAGCTTCAAGTTTGCTGTGGGTCATGTGTCATTTATGGAGATGCATTATGTGGGCAAACATTGGTCACTTCATTGTTGTAAAGCAACACAGTTTAAGGCAGCAGGACTTGGGTCTGTGCTACCTTCCTGGTCCGTGTAAATTCCCCCCGACCTGCCCTTCCACCTTTGTGCGTTATGACTTGTATCTCGTTTCCTGTTCCTGCTTCCTGTGCTGCAAAATCCGATGTCAACAGTTTGAGTTTCTGGCTGCATGTCAACAAGTTCGCTCTACAATGAGACTTGTGTTTTGGGCTCATTGGGTCCAGCAGGACCAGTCTTAGCTGATCGGGTGAGGCTCCTCAGCACTGGGAATTAAACAGGAAATGTTAGTATTAAAACAGTGTGCCTGTACTGTTTTTGCTTAGCTGTTGCAAATGATTTTTGCTGGGCCTTTGTTATCTAAAGCAGGTCAGACGCTCTGGGCCTGCCACTAGTTTAATTAACAGCCTACAGCCGGTGGGAACCCCTTCGTCACCAAGGAGTTGCTCTTTTGGGCTGGCATTGGTTGAATTAACTTTGAATCTTTTTCCATTCTCTTCTATTCTTGTCGGAATTCCATGATTTTCATTTGTTTTCATTCTTGTTCTTTATTGTGTTGTTAGTGATGTGTTTATTTTCAGTCTGTGCTTTCTACCCCTTGGATCGGATGACTGATTTCTTTCTTCTTCAGGTGGAGCTGGCACTTTGGGATACTGCAGGTCAAGAAGACTACGACCGACTGCGACCTCTCTCCTACCCGGACACTGATGTTATCCTTATGTGCTTTTCCATAGACAGCCCTGACAGTTTAGGTAGGCCGCATGCATCACCACCATAACTTCACAGATGGGTCATGCTCTTCCTCTCTTTTGTGTTGAGTTTTTATGATCTAAATGGTGTAAGATTTCCTCCTGGAACTCTGGTTTATTTAATCACCACAACTTAGCTTGTCAAGTTTCCCCTCGATTATTTGACCCAATCCTTGTTTGATGTGATTTCCTCAGCGAGCTCAGACCATGTATCAGAGGTTGATGACGTTTGTTAGCTGGCTCCCAATGTAAACTCCTCCTCCTTTCTTTTTAAAAGGAGAAAGTCTGCCGTGTGCTCATTTAATTTTTACATTCTCTTCCAGAGAACATTCCAGAGAAATGGACACCTGAAGTGAAGCACTTTTGTCCCAACGTCCCCATCATCCTTGTGGGTAACAAGAAGGACCTTAGGAATGATGAACACACTCGTAAGGAGTTGGCTAAAATGAAGCAGGTGTGTTTTTCTCGGGCATACTTCCTTTGTTGTTTAGACATCTGCAGACGTTTCCTACCTTTCTATATCTTAAACTTTCAGGAGCCAGTGAAGACCGAAGAGGGTAGAGACATGGCGAGCCGGATCAGTTCCTTTGGCTACCTGGAGTGCTCAGCCAAGACCAATGATGGTGTGCGTGATGTGTTTGAGATGGCCACCAGGGCAGGGCTGCAGGTCCGCAAGCGTAAGAAGAGAGGCGGCTGCCAGCTGCTGTGAGGAGTTCAGAGCCTGTTGGCTGATCAGCACCTGTGGTTGGACTCTCCCAGACATGCGTAGAAAAACCTTAAATCAGTGGCTTCCATAGACTCTACTGACTTCACAGATACAGGCAAATAAAAGACTGCCACACCTGTTAAAACATAAATCAGCTATTTTTAAGTTTCCTTTCCAACTCACTCAGTTATTGTTTTCTATTCTGTTTCTTGCAACCAGCACACCAGTCTGCTTGTGTGAAGGATTGGACATTTCCTTCTGTACGAATGTATGTTTCTATTTAAAGATGTCCCAGTCCAGCCTGTGTCGTGTTTGTTTGTTTACAGAGGAGGTTTTGGGCTTCCTGCCCATTGATCCTTTCTCTTGCAGTCGGTAGTAGCCATTTTAGACGTGCTTCCATCATGCATCTGCTGTTATACACCAGCTTATGTTGTGATTCATCTGTATGTTGTACCACTAATGTTTTCATACACTAAAACTTGTACTTTACCAAGTTCTGTGGCAGCAGAAATGCACTTCTGCAAAAGGAGCCTGTTGAACCCACTGCAGCCTACATGCAGAACAGTGAAAGAGGAGAGTTTTTGTAGCACGAGTGTTCGGGTTGCTTGTCGTGTTCGTGGTGATAGCTTTAACTGGCACTGGGGACAGTGGCCTGTTGTTGTGGACAATACTGGCACTCTCATTGGCTCTGACGGACATCACTGCTACTGGTCCAGCCTCCTCTCTGACCCCATCAGCTCCAGCAGACATAACTGCAGGATGAATGCACCATCTACAACAAAAAAGGTTTTCTGGTTTTAAACACAACAAACAGCCAGGCTTGCAGCTCAAACATCACCTTCAGCTAACGAAGATCAGTTTTGTAGCTCATTTGGTTCTTTTTGTTTTGGTTAATGGCATAAATTATATTAACAAGGGTGTTCCTGTTCAAGGTTGAAAGGGGAAAGAAAAAACTTTTTATCACATCAGATTGAGCATGTGTGCTAATAAAAGAAATAAAATTACTTTTCCAAGCATGTAGTGTGTGCTGTCTGTAGTTTAATCCCTTTAAAGCAGAGTCTGGTTCCAGTCCTTTCAAAGACTTCTGGACTGTGTCCATAGTTTTAAAAGTCAAAATAAAAGTTGTGATGCATTGCTGTGAAAGCTGTTAAATCATGTTTTTTTCCTCTATTCTGAATATTAAGTACTTTTGAAGTACTGTATCAGTCACATTTATTATGAACCTGTCATAAAGGAGAGCTGAGCTGGAAGGCGAGGCTTTCAAGTGACCAGTTTGATTCTACCCTCACCCGTGGTCATGAGCTTTGGATAGTGACCGAAAGAATGGGATCGTGGACAAAGCGGCCAAAACTGGTTTTCTCCACAGGGTTTCTGGGCTCTCACTTTTGAATAGGGTGAGAATCTCAATCATCTGGGAGGAGTTCAGAGCAGACCCGCTGCTCCTCCACATCAAGAGAAACCAGATGAGGTGACTCAGTTGTCTGATTAGGATGCTTATTGGATGCTTCCCTGGTGAGGTTTTCTGGGCATGTCCAACCAAGAGGAGACCTACAGGAAGACTCCGGACACGCTGGAGTGACTGCTTCTCGTCCGGCCTGGGAATGCCTCTGGATTCCTCCAGAGGAGCTGGCCCAAGTGGCTGGGGAAAGCTTGGGCCTTTGCTTAGGCTACTGCCCCCACTATCTGACCCCGGATAAGTGGACAAAAATGGGTGGACCACAAAGGTTATTTTGGGAGTTTGGAGTGTAGAAATAACCTAACTTAGTCATGTGTTACTTCCCTAAATACTTTCAAAACATTAGCAATACAAATGAAAAGAAATGAGGGTTGACATCTGGTTGTTTTAAGCTTTATTTAATCTGAATTCTTTTGGAAAATATGTTACAACAATTCAAACATTTGGCTTTATTAATACAAATCTGTATAAAATTAAAACACAGCAAGATCTATGCAACGGCATTCTCTGATTTGTGGTTTATTCTGTATGTTTCAGTTGTAAACCTAAAGATTCAGAGATATTTGACCATGATCAAGTTCAAAGCCCTGAGATGAACCGTAGTTAAGACTAACAGTCTATGTCATATTAAAAATATTTCATCTTTATCATCGTGCTTTTGAAGTTCCATCGTGCTCACAGGTCGTTCCTCCACTCAGGGTCCAACTGCTGCTGGACGACACTCTCGTGCATCTCGACGACCTTTTCATACGTTTTATCATGACCCTCGATGCTGATGTAGAGAGCAGAAAGTCGAAGCACCACCTCATAATCGTCTTTCTCTGGTTGAACCAAACCCGTGCAGCCTCCTTCATCTTTGCAGTACTGGATGAAGCTGAAGATGGGTGATGGAGGAAGTAATGGCATGATTTAATTTATTGAACCGGTAAGTTGTTTAACAATTAAACCTGATAGGCTTTTAAATGCAGGTGTGAAACATACCGTTTCCAGGTATCATCTGTGTTCAACACTATGGGGTTTCCCACCACAATCAGCAGGGCTTTGGCTCGAGTCACAGCCACATTGAATCTCTAGACAACAACACAAAAACCTGTAAAAAGGGTGTGTGTGGGTATAATAATAATAATAATAATACATTTTATTTCAAAGCGCCTTTCAGGACACCCAAGGTCACTTTACACAAAACACGTAATAAAATACAATAAAACAATAATAAAACCCAAAGAAGAAAAAACAGAGAGAAACATTTCAATAAAATCAGAGGTTGTAGGCAGATTTAAACATATGTGTTTTGAGTTTTGATTGGAAAAGGGTAAAACTGTCGATGTTCCTGATGTCTGGGGGAAGTGAGTTCCAGAGTCGAGGAGCAGAGCGGCTGAAAGCTCTGCTCCCCATGGTAGCGAGACGGGCAGAAGGAACCGCAAGATGGATGGAAGAAGAAGATCTGAGTGAACGGGACGGGGTGTGAATACTTATAAGGTCTGAGATATATGGAGGAGAGAGGTTGTGGATTGCTTTGAAGGTATGGAGGAGAATTTTGAAGATGGGCCTGAATTTAACTGGGAGCCAGTGGAGCTGCTGGAGAACCGGCGTGATGTGGTGAAAGGAAGGGGTTCTGGTGATAATACGGGCTGCTGAATTCTGGACCAGTTGCAGTTTATGAAGGAGTTTGTTGGGGAGACCATAAAGAAGTGAATTGCAATAGTCGAGACGGGAGGTGACGAGGCTGTGGACGAGAATGGCGGCAGTGTGAGGGGTCAGTGAGGGACGAAGACGGTTTATGGAACGTAGATGGAAGTATGCTGACCGAATTAAGTTATTAATGTGAGCCTGAAAAGAAAGGGAGCTGTCGAGAATGACACCCAGACTCTTGACATGAGGTGAGGGGGAGACTGTGGCACTGTCAATAGTTAAAGAAAAGCTGTCAGATGTTGAGAGGGTGGAGTTAGTGCCAACTAGAAGAAGTTCAGTTTTATTGCCGTTGAGTTTGAGGAAATTAGAGGTGAACCATGATTTGATTTCAGAGAGGCAGAGTGTAAGGGAGGATGGTGGGAGAGTTGAGTTGGGCTTACTGGAAATGTAGAGCTGGGTGTCATCTGCAAAGCAGTGAAACTGGATATTGAATTTGCGGAAGATTTTGCCGATAGGGAGGAGATATACTATGAAGAGGAGGGGCCCCAGGACAGAGCCCTGGGGCACACCTGACTTGACTGGGGAGGGTTCTGAGGTAAAGGATTTTAACTGGATGAACTGAGTGCGGCCAGTAAGGTAAGATTGAAACCAGCGGAGGGGGGTGTGAGTGATGCCTAAGGAATAGAGTCTATTAAGGAGGATGGGATGAGAAATGGTGTCAAAGGCCGCACTCAGATCGAGGAGAATAAGAATAGAGATTAAACCAGAATCAGCAGCAATGAGTAGGTCGTTAGTGATCTTGATGAGAGCTGTTTCTGTGCTGTGGTGGGGACGGAAGCCAGACTGAAACTGTTCATAAAGGTTATTGCGGGTGAGATGTGAATGGAGCTGAGATGCAACAGTTTTCTCAAGGACTTTGGAAATGAAGGGAAGATGGGAAATGGGACGGAGGTTATTGAAATCATTGGGATCTAAACCAGGTTTTTTTAGAATAGGGCTGACTGAAGCGGATTTGAATAGGGATGGGACCGTACCAGAGGATAGTGAGGAATGAATAATGGCTGTTATAAAAGGGAGCAGAGAAGAAAGGCAGGATTTAACTAAAACAGTTGGAATAGGGTCCAGTTGACAGGTGGAAGGTTTGGATTTGGTGATGTAATCTAATATTTCTGAGGGATGGGGAAGTTCAAAGGAGGAGAACGGAATGGTGGGTTCAAATAAATCAGGAGAGGGAGGGGAGGAATGAGGTAAAGAGGGATGGATTCTATTGACCTTCTCATTAAAAAACTGAAGGAGAGAGTTACAGGTTTCTGAAGAGTAAAGATGGATGGGTAAGGAGTCGGGAGGCTGAAAAATGCTGTTCATGATGGAAAATAATGTTTTAGTGTTGCTGGAGTTGGACGAGATGAGACCGGAGTAATACTGAGATTTGGCATGGGAGATGGAGTCCTTGTAGAGAGAAATCTGAGCAGAATATAAGTCTTTATGGATGGTGAGACCGGTTTTCTTGTAGAGTCTTTCAAGCCTCCGGTTGGTAGCTTTCAAGGAGCGAAGGGCAGGGGTGAACCATGGAGCAGACCGAGTAAAATATACAGAGCGGGATTTGATGGGAGCAAATGAATTAAGGATAGAAACCAGACCGTTATTGTACTGAATGACAAGATCATCGGGAGTAGAGGACAAATTAGGGGTCAAGGTGGCAAAACTGGAGGACAGGGAGGCTAGATCAATGTCCTTAATATTACGAAAAGAAATGATACGTGGTGACTTGATGATGGAGAGACGGAGGGGAACAGAAAAGGAGATGAGGAAGTGGTCCGTGAAAGGGAGCGGGTCAGCTGTACAGTTGGAGGGGGTCAGGCCGGAGCAGCAGATTAAATCCAGGGTGTGACCTTTAATGTGAGTGGGAAAATTGGCATATTGATGAAAACTGAGGCTGTCCAAAGATGAGGAGAAGTCTTTGCTGAGGGGGAGGGCCATATTGTCCATATGAATATTAAAATCACCAAGTAAAATTACATTTGGGGAAAGGGCGGACAGATGGGATAAAAGAGCAGAGAGTTCATTTAAAAACTCAGGGCTGAACTTGGGGGGACGATAAACAGTGACAATTATTGTGGGGGTCGGGCCGGAGAGTTGACAGGCGAGGCATTCCAGAGTGGTGAGAGGAGGAAGGTTTACGGGAAGGACCTTCCAAGTCTCGCGATACAGTATCGCGAGACCACCGCCGCGGCCCGACCCACGGGGTTTGGAGAGGTAAACAAATCCGGGAGGAGTACAGTCATTGAGTTGTGAGAAATCGCTGGGTTGTTGCCATGTTTCGTTCAGACAAAGAAAGTCTAGCTTATGGTCACTGATGGTATCTTGGAGGAGATGTCCTTTACCAGAGAGGGAGCGAATGTTGAGAAGACCAAAATTAGCAGTGCGGAAGTCCCTGGCGACAGGAGCATTAGTCCGACTAGCCAGCCGGGCTAACACGCTGGAGTCGGCAGCTCGGCAGGTATTCCTGGGTAGCCGCCGGCTAGTCGTGGACCAGAAGGAGGGTATTCCTTTGGAGCCGTCGAGATGGAGGTTCCGCCGGGACCCCCGATGGATATACCGACGGCGAGGCTGGAAGGTGATGTCGGGGAAGAGGCACAGAGCTGGTGGTGGAGATCCGGAGTAGCGAAAGCGGAGGTTGAAGAGCTCCGCCGCCGAGTACTGGAGAAGGCCATCCACGGACAGAAGAATGAGCGACAGGATGATCCAGGCCAGTGCGAGGCACACAGAAATCCTGCTGGACCACATTATGGAGTGGAGCAGGGAGGTGGTGATGTGCAACCAGAACGCAAGCTGAGCAGGTAGGTGAAAATGAGTTTTCACCGACACAGGGATGTGTCCAGGGTGAAAAAGAAGAAAAAAAAAATACAAAAAGTTTGTTTGCCAGCGAGCAGCGGCAGCGAGACGCGCCAGCGTTCACTCAACCGGAACCGGAAAATCATGTGTGTATATATAATATGTGTGTGTTTGCTTTACCTTCTCATTCTTCACAAAGCCCAGGCTGAACTTTTTATCATAGTCCATGTATTTGGAGCTGCTTCGAACTGTGGACACCATGATGACTCTCCTCTCCTGGCCTTGAAACTCCTCCACTGAACCAACCTGATGCACACATGCGCGCGGGCGCGCACACACACACACACACACACACACACACACACACACACACACTTAAACACCATTACGAGATGTAGTTTTAATTCAGCGTATATGATTTAGTTACCTTCAGGGCATTCATGTCCGTAAACGTGAACTCTTTCCCAACTTGCTCCAGGGCCTTCCGGATTTTCTGCACCTATTTTGGAAAATCAGGCATAAAATATGAAATATTTATTCTGCGTGAAGTTAGGACAGTCGTTTGTATTTTGCTAAAGGAATAAACTAATTTATTCAAGTCAGTCTGCGTTGATGGACAATAAATCCCACCTGTTTCCTGTAGGGGGCGATGATTCCTATATCTTTGGGTCCTATTGTAGCCAGGCCCTTCTTTCGTCCTGACTGCAGCAGTTTCCTCACATAGTCCATCAGCACCTCCACTTCTGCTACATTAAAGAATGAAGGGCTGTTGGACTCACGTGTATCCTCACCGGCCACCCCGTGAAAGATCAGTGGGAGGTCCTAAAAAAGACATCCAAACAAAATCAGACCTACAACTAAGAAATAAATGCAGGTTTTAGCCTTAAATAAATAAGTCTGACACTAAATCCAGTTAAGGCGGGAGGTGACAGAAATGTTAAATGCAGCTGTGCTACATATACCAATACAAAATTAGGTGTTTTAGTAGCTGATCACAATCATAAGTACTAACTGGTAACCTACAACTGTTGTAATTAAGTATTAAAGTTAATTGAGTTGATTGTCTAATAGCAAAACATCTTGTTAAATGGATATAGAGGGCAATGTTCATGTTAACATTGCTACAGGTCATAAAAAATCTTAAAATATCACAAGAGGTCATTATGCTATTTTCCCAATTTGAGCTAAATGGATAAAACTTCATAATTTCTTAATTTGACAAAAACATTAAGTTGAAGAAAAACAGTTAGTTATTTTTTTTCGATTCTCTGCAAAAAAAAAAAAATACAAGGAAGTTTTCTAATAAATACTTCATCAGATGCAAGATTAGTAGCCTAAAATCCTCAGAAGTGGATCAACATTTTAAAAGTAATTTAACCAGTAATGTTTTATGAATGAATGAATGTGTCAGTGTTAATCTTTTAGCAACATTTTCTAACCAAAGCACAATGTACTGCTTTTTCAGATGATGGTTGAATTTATTTGATATATTTTCAGTTACGGTTGAATTTCTGATGTTTATTCAGTGTCAAAAAAACAAAACTACATTCTTTTAGTTCATTTTGTTTCCACAGTCTTCATAGATTAAATAATCTTCCCTGATGATATTTAATGTTTATTTTTTTAATCATATTTTTTTTTAAGTTTTTAAAATATTTGTAAGCGCATACTTCCACTCTGCAGTGCAGTTTTTACCCCGCATGCATTGCATTCAGATCACAATGCATTATATGAATTACTTGCAGCGCTTCAATTTAGCACTGAAATCACAAATCCAGACACAACATTTCTAAATGTATTCTGCAGCATGCGTGTGCTGAACGCAACACTGATACCTGCTTTGGAAGGTATTGCCACCAGCGGTAGAAGTTGCGTGCATATTCATCTGCACACGCCTGCAGCTCTCCGTCATAGAAGAGCTCGTTGGGAATCTTCAGAATGGCTGGATGAGATCTGATTTAAAAAAAAAAACATTAAAAGGTGAATACAGATCATTGAAGCACATTTTTGTCAGATAGCAACATAAATTCCTCTCTTCCATCTTGCCTGTAGTTACGCAACAGTTTGGTGACAAAGCAGTTGTTGTACACTCCTTCGTTCTTCTGGTACAAAGAGGAAGTGGTCATCAGGCGTTCCAAAAGGGACACTCCTACAGACAGCATCGTTCAAATCATTTATCACATCATCATTGAATTTCTGATCCTAAAATAAAACCAAAGCATGTGTTTTTACCCATGCCGTATTTCAGGGAGAAAGGAGATCGGAGAATTGGCCCGAGCTGCTTGGGGTCTCCAGCTAGAACAAGCTGTCCAGACTCTGCATCCAGTAACCCTGTGAATCATTCGGGAATACGTAAAGAACAGAAGGTTCTTGCTGTTCCAAGATACACTTCTTTTTTGGGCCATTCCCATCTGTACCGGGTCGGCCCGGGCCGGGTAGCGTAGGTTGTTTACTTATCTGGGTGGCCTGGTATTTTTCCGGGCCAACCAAGGCTCATTCTCAGCCCTCTTCTCGAGGGGGTCTGCTTCAGGCTGACCAGGGCCAACACACCCACTGCTGACAGCAAATTCACACCTTCCATTAGAGCAAGCCTCTGATTGGTGGGTAGAATCAGCCCACATGGGCTTAAGGCCATGATGTGTGGAATCAACCGGGCCAGGCTGGGGCCGACTGGGGCTACCCGGCCCGGGCCGACCCGGTACAGATGGGAATGACCCATTTGTTTATCTTACCTGCCAGTGGAACAACACACTCAGTCTCCACAGCATGTCCAGCCTCATCCACAAACACATGAGTGAAATGTCCACTAGGAATGTTTCCTGACACCAACCTGCAAAGATGAAACACATGGGAGCAGGTGTGACGATTAACCCTCTTATGACCGTAATCATAACAGGGTCGCCTGGTGTTTTTTTAGTCATATGGCTGTAAAATTGTAATAAAAAGTGCAAAGTGTGTGTAACTCTTCTCCTTTTTTCAGAACATCCTCAGCTTTCAGTGTATGGTTGGTATTTAGAATTTATTTCTATTAGCCTTTAAAAGCCTTTAAAAAATCAGCTTAAAAGTGAAAAAAGCAAAAAACGGGATAGAATTTTTTACATTTATTACTGAACAGGAACTTCAAAATTACTGGGCAAACAATTTGGAATGAACAATTTAAACTTTGAACTGTAATGCATCTATTCTTAAAAAAGTTTGAACCTTGGTATCTTTTTTAGCAGTTTTTAAGACCATTTATTTTTGTAAACCTTCAGACGTTTTTATTTGATGTGGTAGGCCTTGAAGCAGTTTCTCTCCAGCAACAGGCAGAGTCTCTGCAAATATAATTTACTTATAATAATTTACTGCTATACCAAAAACTTTTGTTTTAGCAAAAATAATTATTTATTGTAAAAAGATAAATAATGCTGGAATGAAGCTGAATCTTACAATTAGCAAATAGTTGAGGGTTGTTCGAATAAAAAAATAAAAAATAAAGACTGAACAAACATTCATACTCTGGTTCACTGGAGATCTGTGCTTCTTCGTGGTCACTGTCTTCAGATATAAGCCTTCTGGGACACCTAATCGATTGTGTTGATTTTCTTTGAGGCATTTCCATAATTTCATGCCGGCTTTTTATGCTAATTAGCTTCCTCGTTCCGTTATCCGCTTTCACCGCGGCGCTGCGCTCTGCTGTGCTCCGTTTCAATCAGGCTGTACAGCAGGATTTCCCATCGTAGCGATATTTTCCATAACTCTGATTACTTCACGCTAAAGATCGTTGGGAAGCTGCTTTAATTTACTTTAAGGAACCGTTTTAATTTTTTTAATCTGATCAGCCATTAAAAAGTTATAAAACGGAGCATTTTGGATGACAAACTTAGCATGCCTCTGAATATGTGTTGTGATTCGTTGAGTTCAAGACAGGGAATCCCGGTGGCTACCATAATGTATTGCACAATATATCGAAAAATTGTCGTCATCGCGATAACAGGACGTGCGATAGGCCCATCGCAAAGCATGTCAAAAACGGCGATAAATGTTTGGTTCAAACATTTCCATCCGTGTCATACATCAACTTTTTGTAAACCAGCTCTGTTTTTTACGCGGAAGTATTTATTAACCAATCAAATGTAGCGCTTCTGATATGCGGCCAATCAGATGGGTCCGCTCACGTAATACGCCCGCCCCCTACGTAGACCCTTACCCCAAAATTCCAGTATCTCCACTCCGCCCCCGCTTTCCGCTGCCGCTCGCTTCCCTTGTTCGTCATGCTGGCTCAGATTAATGAACGCACTTTGTGCTGAGGTTTCTGGAATCAGCGCTGCTTTCAAACGTGAACGTGAGTCCGCTCTGTGTCGTTAATCAGCTGATAATAACCGGGATGACTCCGACACGTGCCGGTGAACCAACCCACCGTTAGCCCCAGGCTCCGGTTAGCTTCCAGCTAAAAGGCTACAGCACTCTCCTCCCAGTCCCACCCTGAGCTGCTAAAGAGGGCCTGGAAAAGTTCCCCCACACATCAAAGTGATTTTTCCTTTATTATTCCTTTTTTATAACCTTGTTAATCAGGATAGTTGATTTGCTGCTGCACATAAACTGTCAGTCAGAAGCTCTGCTAGCCGGTTATTTTAAGAGGAGCTAGTTCCATTTGTTAGCTTGTTATCAGAATCATAGTTGCAGTTTCATTATCTGAGCTGCTTTTTAAGATCTAGGTAAACTTGTTCAATTTGGGGTTAAAAACAAACGTTTTCACATATTTTCCATGTAGTTTTTTGCCAGTTCCTCTTCTGAAAGGTAGACAATTGTTTTTCTCATTCCCTCAGAAAATCTTAATATTCTCCTAGTTTGGCCCAGCACAGTTCACTTCCCAATTACAGCAACAGCCTTATACCATAACCACATAAGGGGAGAAAATGCTCAGTAGCAATGAGAGAATTTGCTGTTGCATTTAAGTGATGTTAACTATTATTTAACATTTAAACTTATTTTCTGATTTTATTTATTTATTCAAAAAACCCTGGTAAGGGATGTTTTTCTGTATTTGGAGCATCAGAAAAAGTTTCATGGTGGAGGTGATGTTTTAAAGTCACTGAGGAACTGCATGCATGCAGTTTGTTGTTTTGCTGCTAATACAGTAGCAGGTGCAGCTGCATATTTTTGCTATAAAAATGTTATGTTGTAATGGAATTCATGCATTAGTTTTTGTTTGCTTTGAACCCAGAGCAGACGTCACACGCCAGACGACATCAACACTGCATACTTTAGTATTTGTTCATTTATCGTGAGTAATATCGATATCGCAATATTAAGCACTGTTATCGAATATCGCAGGTTTTCCTAATATCGTGCAGCCCTAGTATTGTATATGCACAAAAAGCCCTATTTTTAATCTTTTCAGCACTTTTGGAATTTTACAGATATCTTTAACGGTTCAGGAATTATGGTAATGAGAAGTGTGCATGTCAAATCCTGTCGGCGATGACAAGTTGGTAATAAGAGGGTTAAAAACAAACCTGATGTGGTGCAGCGGGGAAAAGGCATCATGCAATGGATTCTTCCCTACCTTCCAGCACTTAGCAGCGTGGTGACTATGATCTTATACTCCATCAGTTTCTCTTTAGCAGGATAAACATACGACTCCCCCACCAGGTTGGAGCATCCCTGTGAAGAACCATAATGTTCAAATGTACAAGTTTAGATAAATAATTTGACTAAATGGAACGTTTAAAACAACTTCAGTAAGAGAATAAACAGAACACATTATTTATTGAGGTTTACAGAAACTGCAACACATTTTAGAACCACTAGGTGGAAGACAAACTAAAGCAAAGAGATCAAGAGTTCTATACATTTTTGATGACACGGAGAACCGACCTTCAGGTGAGCAGGGACTAGCTTTGGGTCCCGGCTGCTGGCGTACATGCGATACACCATACACTCGTCCACATGATCCCGGATCTTGCTGCACAGTAAATCAGCGGCGCTGTTGGAGGGAGCGCAGGCCAGAATGTGGCACGAGGCCTGGGTCTTCTCTATCTGCTTAATGGCCTCCACCACAGTGACAGTTTTACCTCAACACAGAAAACATCAGAACACAGTGACTGTCTGAATTTCAAAAATAAACAGACTAAATAAAACCCAGCAGGCATTTAGATTTAGTTTTTATCTTTTCAATAAAATACACCCAGGCCTCCATGCAGAGGTGCAGCAAACATTGAAAATCTTTTTAACTAGTAGAATAAAGATAAACAGAGATGAACGTGAAGACCGGTGAGTTTAAGTTGCAGCTTTTAGCTTTGGTAAAAGTTGGAAATCTGATACGTGCTAATGATGATAAAGACCACCTAGTTGCATAAGATGACGCAGGCTCCTGCTGTTACTTGTTTGGGTGTTTGGCGGAAGCAGATGAAGAGTTTATTCAGTTCACAAATAATTCAAAAGCTACAGAAAATGTTTGTAAGACATCAGTAAACATACATTTTCTCTCATTTCTGCATGTTTAGCAAAAATTAAAATTACATTAAATAATCACAATTACTGATATCACTGAATACCCCCTTTTGTCCTGATCCCAGCAAATAATAATAATAATAATAATAATAATAATAAATTGTATTTAAAAGCACCTTTGCTGAACATAAAACATCAACACAAATACCACGGTTTCAATTCAATATAACAAATCAATAGAGATGAGAACAACAGAGAAAACCATAAAACTAATTGAGAGCTGGTTTAAAAAGTAAGGGCAAGTTAAACAATACATGAAAAGTACAAAAAGGATTAAGTAGAACATGCACGCCTGAATAGCTGAGTTTTAAAAGCTATATGAATGTTTGAATAGATGAAACCGTACCAATACGCAGAGGGAGTTTGTTTCACAGCTGCGGTGCAGATGAACCAAATGACCTGAGTCTCATGGTGGACAAACGGGTGTGTGGAATGGTGAGGAGAAGGTCTGATATTAATTAGCTAAATTAAGATTTAATCTGATTAACAATTATAAATAAAGTTATTGAAGCAGTTAAGACAATTTCCAAAGATCTGATGTGAACTTGAGCTGCATGATTCTCGGTTTTCTAGGAGTCTGACCTGCAAATACTCCTTTTGGCCAGTTCTGTGTGACTTGATACTTTTTTACAACTATGGCACAGGAGTTAAGTGCTCGCCCCAAAATCGGAAGGTCACAGGTTCGAGCCCCGCTGGTGGTGGTCGGAGGGACCGGCGGCGCCAGTGCTCTGCAGCCTCACCTCGGTCAGTGCCAGGGCAGCTGTGGCTACATCGTAGCTCATTCCCATCAGCGTGTGAATGTGTGTGTGTGAATGGGTAAATTACTTCTTAGGTGTTCTTGCTGTGTCGTATCTCTAAATCCATGCTGTAGTTCTTTTTTAAAACACAAAGGAACCGGAGGAACCGGAGGAGGGATGGTGCCAGCCTCACTGAAAGAGGAAGAGCATTCCAGAGTGTCGGAGCAGCATAGACAAAAGCACGCTGCCCCCGCGTTTTGTATTTCATTGTTGGAACGTGAAGCAGCAGGCAATCAGCAGATCTCAATGCCCAGTTTGGCACATAACGAGTCACAAGATCCGACAGGTGGGATCTTTTGTGTGTTTGGGTTTTAAGGTTAACTTTGTCTGAGACAATTTTACTGACCTCGGTTTAAAAGTTGGGTCAGAAAATGAACCCTTTGCCCAAAGAACTGCACTTGGATGGAGCATAATAGGATCCACAAACCCTTCTATAGACAGACAGGGAAATCAGAGTATTGTCCATCGAGTGGCAGTTAAGGAAGTCCTAAACCCCCCCCCCCCCTTCAGAGGTGTTGAAGGCCTTAGAAAAGGACTTCAATGATAAAACCTATCATGATAAAAAGGTTTCTCAAAAAGACGTGAATTTTGTTCAGTTTCTCTCAGTTAACATCACTCAGAAGGACAGTGGACACTACCAGATGCCCCTGCCCTTTAAAGGTACAGGGCCACCTGCCCTTCCCAACAACAAAAGGTTAGCCATCATTCGTTTGCAACATCTTAAGAAACGTTTAAAATCTAACGAACAGTACTGTGAGAGATACACGACCTTCATGGATGCAGCCATCAGGAATGGTGTTGCAGAACCTGCTCCTCCTATTCAGGATGGTGAGACGGTGTGGTACGTCCCACATCATGGTGTATATCATCCTAAGAAGCCTACCAAGCTTGGAGTAGTTTTTGACTGTTCAGCAAGATTTCGAGGCATGTCTCTTAATGATACCTTAATGACAGGTCCGGATTTGATAAATTCTCTGTTTGGAGTTCTCTGCCGCTTCAGAAAGGAATATGTGGCAGTTACTTGTGACATTGAAGCCATGTTTCATCAGTTACCACCAGATCTCAGAAACTACCTTAGGTTCTTAAGGTGGGAGGGAGGCCAGTTAGAGACCGAGCCGAAAGAGTCCCAAATGGCAGTTCACCTTTTTGGGGCTGGCTCATCACCAGGATGTGCAAACTTTGGCCTAAAATATCTGTCTCAGCAACACAAAGCCGAATACCCTTTGGCATCTGATTTTATCGAGAACCATTTTTATGTTGACGATGGTCTGATTAGCGTTAAATCTGTTTCAGAAGCAGCAGCATTGATCTCAGAAGCACAAGAATTGTGTAAAAAGGGAGGCCTAAATCTACATAAGTTTACCTCAAACCAACCTGAGGCTTTATGTAGTGTTGCCTCTTCAGAAAGGGCCGAATCATGTGACATCCTGAATCTCTGCTTGGATCCACCACCCGAAGGTCATGCACTAGGAATTCGGTGGTCAATAAACCATGATACCTTTAGTTTTAATGTTGATGTACAGGAGAAACCTGCTTGTCGTCGTGGGATATTGTCAGTTGTTTCATCCCTTTATGACCCTCTCGGGGTCATAGCACCCTTTGTGTTGAAGGGCAAATGCATCCTTCAAGAACTGTGCCATAAAGGTATAGGATGGGATGAGCCACCTCCAATACATTTGTGCTCACGGTGGGAGGACTGGGTACAGGATTTGCATGTGATAAAAGACATAAGCTTACCTAGATGTTATCATCCGTTGGGGTTTGGTAACATACCCAGAGTTGAGCTTCATCATTTTTGTGATGCTAGTAGCATTGGGTATGGGGCAGTCTCATATCTGAGGTGCAAAAATGAACAAGATCAGGTCCATTGCTGTTTAGTCATGCTAAAGCGAGAGTTGCCCCTACCAAAATCACAAGCATACCCAGATTGGAACTAACTGCTGCAGTACTCTCCGCAAGATTAAGTGTGATGCTTCGGTCAGAGCTTCACATGACAATCAATGAAGAGTTCTTCTGGACTGACTCACAAGTTGTTCTAGCCTATATTAACAATGAAGCTCGTAGATTCCATACATTTGTCGCAAACCGTATCCAGTTTATCAGAGAAGCCACAAACCCAGAGCAGTGGCACTATGTGGATACCACAGAGAACCCAGCAGACTACGCCTCCAGGGGTCTCAGAGTAGCAGACATCCTGTCAACACGTTGGCTTTTAGGCCCACATTTTCTATGGCAGCCAGTCATAGAACCAAGACCATTACTACAAACTGGTCTTCTTGTCAGTGATCCTGAGGTAAAACCTGTAACAGTTAGTACAACCCTTGCCCAGGAGGATGATATGCTTTCCCGTATTAGCCGGTTTTCGTGTTGGTCAACACTGGTTAAGGTAATAGCGAGAATTAAACGGTTGGGATCAAACACACATCTCAGAAATGAGTATGTTTCTGTGGAAGAAAGAAAAAGGGCTGCAGAGAGCATTGTTAAACTACTTCAACGACGTGCCTTCTGTCCAGAGTTGATGTGTCTGGAAAGGCAAGACAATCTCCCGATTACGAGCTCTTTAAGGCAGCTCCAGCCCTTCTTAAGTCAGGGACTTTTACGGGTCGGAGGAAGACTTAAGAACGCCACCCTAAATCATGAGGTAAAACATCCACTCATCCTGCCTAAAGACTCCCATGTTACAAAGCTGATTTTGCGCCACTATCATGCAGCTGTGCATCATCAGGGCCGTGGTCAAACCTTAACAGAAGTAAGGGCAAATGGATATTGGGTACTGGGTGGGAGCAGGGCAGTAGCTAAACTGATAAACACATGTGTACAGTGTAGGAAGCTTCGTCGCCCCTGTGAAGAACAACGTATGGCAAACCTACCTAGGGAGCGTGTAGAAGAGTCAGCCCCCTTTTCATTCTGTGGCATGGACTGCTTTGGCCCTTTCATCACAAAACAACATTGTAAAGAGAATAAAAGATATGGTCTTCTGTTTACATGTTTAGCCTCACGAGCAGTTCATATTGAGATGGTCACAGATTTATCCACAGATGCATTCATCAGTGCCTTAAGATGTTTCATTAGTTTGAGAGGTACAGTCAGTCAACTTCATTGTGATCAAGGCACCAACTTTATTTGAGCCAAGAATGAACTTCAAGCAGGGTTAAAACAGTGTGACTCGGATATGCTTGCGGTCTTTCTTGCCGAGCAGCTGTGCGAATTTCATTTCGATGCTCTGTCAGCGAGTCATAGTGGTGGTGTCTGGGAGCGTCAAATTAGAACCATCCAGAATGTGCTGAGTGCCACTCTCAGTGGATATGAAGGCAGACTTGATGACTCATCTCTCAGGACTCTGGTTTATGAAGCAATGGCTCTTATCAACAGTCGCCCTTTGTCCATGATCGGTGTTACGGAACCTAATGGATCAGAACCTCTAACCCCCAATCATCTTATTCTGATTAAATCAAAGATTGCTCTTCCACCTCCAGGGAGGTTTTCTAGAAAAGATATCTATGGTGTGAAAAGATGGCGCAGGGTTCAGTACTTGGTTGAGCAGTTTTGGAGTAGGTGGAGAAAGGAATACCTTTTGAATATCTCCACGAGACAAAAGTGGCATACTCCACGGCGAAACATGAAAGTTAATGATGTCGTCATCCTCAAAGATGAAGTGCTTCCTCGATGTCACTGGAGATTAGGACGTGTTGTCAAAACCACTGTAGGTGATGATGGATTACTACGTCGTGTTAAGGTGCGAATGGGCGTTAGAAATGTATCCCAAAAACAATCTATTGTTGAGAGACCAATCCAGAAACTGGTGCTTCTTTTTGAGAGTGATACCTGATTCCTTTAGGGTAATATGTTGGAATGTGTCATTTTCTGATTTTTCCGAAATCATATCTGAAATGTTATGTGTGATCAGATATGATTTTGGTGGGAGTGTAGCTGCCAGCTGAGCAGCTGATGGCAATGACCCTTAATTGGCTCACAGAATTTATATAAGCCACACCCTTCCAGAGAAAACGGCTTGGGTTCATTTGTTTGTAGAGAAGATAACACTGTTTGAAGTATTGGAATTATGCCTAAATTCACCTCAGCTGCACATTGCCGACTGCATCCCCACGTAAGTTTTGCTGCATTGACGCTTTTGTTTGGGTTATTAGTTTGAACCTCTATAGTCATTGTTTGTTTTTCTTGTTCTTGTCCATCACCTAGTCAAATCTACAGATAAAGCAGCTTTGAGGAATTATTGTTTTGTTTAGCACCCTTGGCCAGCGGAGCAAGGTAAATGTGAGAATGTAATCTATTTCTGTTATGACATCGAAGTTGTGTTCACCTTTTATTTATGCTTTGTATATCTCTAAACAGTTTTCACGGTGCAACTCATGGAGTGAAGTCCAAGGCATTTGGACCAGCGAAACGAATAAAAGTTTATGCACCCGTCGAGGCTCTCCGTTCTTTTCTTCATGGTTCCAGGGGCAGCTACAGACTGTTCAGGGCCTTAAAAACAAAAGTCAGGATTTTAAACTTGACTCTGAAGTTTACGGGTAGCCAGTGGAGCCGCGCTAGTACAGGTGTGATATGGTCTCTTCTAGGGGTGTTTGTTAAAAACCTGGCTGCCGAGTTTTGTACGACCTGAAGCCTGTTAAGAGCGGAGGCAGGTAAACCAATTAAAATGGAATTTGCATAATCCAGTCAGGAGATGATAAAAGCATGAATTACAGATTCCCGGTGTGCTTGTTTCAGGATCGGTTTTAAGCAAACTAGTCTGCGCAGCTGATAAAAACACGATCTGACCACTGCGTTAATCAGAGGGCCCACGGAAAAGTGTGTATCCAGTTTCACCCCCAGGTTGGTAACACACTGCTTGAGGTCATATGGGAGAGTGTCCAAATCGGAAGATAAGTGTGTGGTTTTGTTAGGGGTCATCAGGAGTGCCTCAGACTAATGGGCCATTCCCATCTGTACCGGGTCGGCCCGGGCCGGGTAGCCCCAGTCGGCCCTAGCCTGGCCCGGTTGATTCCACACATCCTTGTCTTAAGCCCATGTGGGCTGATTCTACCCATCAGTCAGAGGCTTGCTCTAATGGAAGGTGTGAACTTGCTGTCAGCAGTGGGTGTGTTGGCCCTGGTCGGCCTGAAGCAGACCCCCTCGAGAAGAGGGCTGATAATGAGCCTTGGTTGGCCCGGAAAAATACCAGGCCACCCAGATATATAAACAACCTACGCTACCCGGCCCGGGCCGACCCGGTACAGATGGGAATGGCCCATTAAAATCGTTCAGCTTAAGGAAATTGTTGGCAAGCCAAACCCTCACTTCAGCCAAACATTGGTCCAGAAGAGAGAGGGAGCCTGGTTTGTTCAAAGCCAGGTAGATCTAGCAATCATCTGCATAAATATGATAGCCCAGGCCATATTTCCTCAGGACGAAACCCAGGGGGAGGATGTAAATTGAAAACAGGAGAGGCCTAAGCACAGATCCCTGCAGGACTCCCCATGGAAGTGGGAGGAATGTAGAGGAACAATTACCCAACTGAACCTTGAAAACTCTGTTTGACAGGTATGAGCAGAACCACTGAAGTGAGGTACCCCTAAGCCCTACCCATGACTCAAGTCTATCCAGCAAAATATCGTGGTCAACGGTATCAAATGCTGCAGAAAGATCTAATAGTAGGAGCAAAACAGGTGACCCAGAGTCAGAAGCCACCAGGATGTCATTGGTCACACGAAGAAGGGCTGATTCAGTACTGTGAAGTGGCCTAAACCCAGACTGGAAAACATCAACCAGAGAAAGTCTATTCATCTGTGAATAGACAATCTTTTCAAGGACCTTAGACAAAAACGGTAATTTGGAGATTGGCCGAAAGTTGGCAAGGTTTGAGTTGTCTAAACCAGATTTTTTTTTAAATTGGTTGCAAAACCGCCTTTTTAAAAGAAGTAGGAAACACCCCAGTAGCCAAGCTAGAGTTAAAAATGTCTAAGATGGCAGGGCCCAAAATAGGGATGATCTCACCCACCATCCTCGGGGGAGAGGGTCCTCAGGAGAACCTGCTGGTTTCATATTTACAATCAGATCTGACAATTCACTAAGAGATATGGGAGTAAATTTACAGAATGAGGGAGGTTTTGGTGGTACATCAGGACAGCCAGATCCTGGTTGCACAAGACTATCCCTAATGTCCTGGACTTTGTGAAGAATGAAGGTCTGGAGCTCAGCACACAATGACACAGAGGGATCAACACTACCAGGTTCAGCTATTGACAAGATGGAGCTGACAGTGCTATAAAGTTTATGCTGATCACCCTGGTGTTGAGAGATTATGCATGCAAAGTATTTGTTCCTGGCAGATCTAACACTTCTCTGATACAGGTCAAAGGCATCCATCAGAAGCTGCTGTGAGATTAGTAGCTTATCCTTTTTTCACCTTCTTTCCAGCGCCCTACAACGCTGCCTGAGGCTGCGTGTTTCATTGTTCAGCCAAGGATCAGTGGTGGTTTTCTTCCGTTTAAGTTTAAGGGGAGTGACTGAGTCCAGGGCAACAGAACAAGTCAAATTAAAAGAATTTAAAGGCCCATCCACATCCGTGGTGATCCCAGATGAGGAAGGATTATAATTCAACCTCCAGGATGGACAGTAGTGAGGCAGTCGTGGAGGGAGAGATGTGCCTTGAGTAGCGAGAAGCCTGCCTTCTCACCACAGGCAACATGGCAGAGATGTTGAAAACAACTGAGAAATGATCTGATAAACTGACAGGGTGAACAACCAAGTCCTGCACCTTCAGTCCAAATGATAAAACTAAATCCAGTGTGCGAGAGTCCTCATGAGTAGGAACACTGACCAGTTGCTGGAGGCCAAATGAAACCAGAACATCTGAGAAATCTCTCACCAGAGGATTCGACAAACAACAAACGTGAATATTAAAATCACCAAGGATAATACCTTGGTCATACCTAATACATACCATTTAACCATTTTCTTATTCTCTAAAGTCTGATTAACTTGAAACGTATGAATAAAAAAACGTCTACATAAAAAAAGCCTGTTACTGTTAGCATCAATTAGTGATGATGAGTTCAGGGTCTGGGATGAAAGTTGGACTTTTTGGGCATTGTTGCTGGGTATTGGTGGTTTCAGATCAGCCAATCACCAATAAAGCTTGTAACGGTTTTCAGGTTTTGCTTTATTGACTAAATAGATGAATATGGACGTTGGGCGCCAGTCAGGTCTCCCTCCTGACACATGGGATAAAATAACAAAACAAAAAACAGGCGTACAAGTTGCAATGGTGAATGAATATAAAATCTCCCGTTACACAAGGAAATATGTTACTAGACATACACCCTTATATTAAGTTGTCTGACCAAAAAAATGAAATGAATGGAGGTAATAGTCCAGAGGAAAATCAGGTTTGAGCAATTTCACAGATGCGGTTTATTTAGCTGAATTGTCCATTATGGAGGAGAGGTGCTTGCAGGTGAGTGCAGAATTTTACCCTTGTGTTGGAAAAGTTGACAGGGGTCGTTTAACAAATGAGAGTGATGAGAAGTTTGAAACACACGTTCTCAGTTTTAGTAGATCGTTTGCTTGACGTAAGGATCTCTTCAATGGGCAATCCGATTAAGCAATCCCCATCAGTGGTCAAGTTGCGATGAATATGGTGCGTCCAGGGTCTCTTCCAGATCTGTCTCAATCCTTGAGGGATTAACGGCCTCTTTGATTAAAAAACAGCCTGTTTACTCAGTAGAAATCACTGTGCGCCTGTGTTCACGTCACTCTGTTCACGTCACTCTGTTCACAGGTGGAGAGAAAGTCTGTGGAGCTTGAAGGCACTTTCTATTTTTTTCCTGTTTAGGGTGCGGCAGCCAGCTGCACACAGGTGCAGCAGATTTATAATCAAGAAGAAAAAAAAGTGAGAGGAGCAGTGGAGTGCTTAGCTCCATATTGTCATGACAATTTCAGATTGTTACAAGCAGTTTATATCCTTTGTTTCCAAATGCAAACTATTTTTATGCATCCCCAACATGCGTGTGCAGATTGGATCTTGGACCTGTTTAGAAGGTCCAGCTGAACAGTGGATGTCAGCGTGACACAGAACAAAATAAACTTTCTGTTTGACAGTTTTCCATCAAAAATAGGAAATTTGGATGCTTTTTCTTTCCATGCAGACATGAAAACAACAGAACTGACCTTGGATGAGACCATAATAATCTAGTTTTGATGGGACCTTTATCATCTGCTTTCCACATAAACAATATAATCTTAACTGATAGAAAATTCTACATAGTAAGGGAAATAAACATTTCCAATGAGCAATGCTCACTGGAGCGGGCTGTACCTGTTCCAGGTGGACCAAAGATGAGATAAGGAGCAGGTCTGGATGAGCCGGCCACAATTTGCTGAACGGCCTGATACTGCTCTGGGTTTCTCTCCAGCTGCTGATCAAACAGCCTACAGAGAGAGAGGAAAACAGGTAAAGCATCAGAGAGGATGCTGTTGAATGTGTTTAATTTAATTTATTTTAAACCTGCAAACAAATCAGTATGATCATCCAAAACCACAATATGTCACATTTACAGACACACGAGATGTCTTACTTGAGGTGTGGGAGCTCAGGTTTCAGGTGGGATGGAGTTTCATCAGGAAACAACACACTTCTCAGCCCGCAGAGAGTTGCAAACTCAGCTGCTCTGTGCTGAAGACGTATGGTCAGCCGGTTGATGGTGAACTCCACGTTAAACTTTATCCCTTCTATGATGCTCAAGTCTTTGCGTGTTGTGTATCGATCCAGTAGTCTGCACAAAGGAGACAGGGTGTCGGTCACCTATACGTTCTGGTTACATTCCACTAGGTACTGTTACTGTGGTGTCTATCTTACTCTGAAGCAAAGCCCAGTTTGACGCTGTCTAGATTGACGCTGTGAACATAACCGCGGTACTTCACTTCTTTTTCTCCCTGAGGTTGAACAAGCAGCGAATCACCTCGGAGCACAGATGGGCGGTTCTCAGACACACCCGGTACCTGGCAGGTGAACAAGAAAGGGAATGAGTACCTGGATATTAGGCAAGGCAGCTTTATTTGTGTAGCACGTCTGGTACACAGAAGCAATTCAATGTGTTCTCCAGGTGCAAGAACATAAAACATCAAAACCAACGTGACAACACAAAACTGCAGCTTTTTAATCTAATTGAAAAACACAAATAAAATTAGATGTAAAAAATTAAATAAAAAGGCAAAGTTAGACTGAGCAGTTAGGTGGAGCATAAGAAACATTACGCTGTACATTATTGCCACTTGTAGGAAAAAATAATAAAGGAAAATGTATTTGTTTCCCTAATTTTGAAAATTAGATCATAATGTTTAGAACCAAAAATTTAATGCAACTTCTACCAGAAAATTTTTTATCACAACAGGAGAGCCGTTATCCTTATGATTTATTTAAATGTACTACAGAGACTAACGCCCTAAATGCAAGATTTATTTAAAAATGGGAATACTTATATCACAAACCTTTACTTGTGAAAAAATGATAATGTATTTATTATAGATGTTCCAAAAGTATTTAGGGTTGTATGTATGTTAGAGGCTCTTATTGTGAAGGATGAAGTTCTAGGTTTATTATGATTGACACAGTGATAGGATTACAACAGACTGATTCAAGAAAATGGCTAATGTTTTTATTATTATTATCATTTTAGATATAATATTTTGTCTTTTTTGCAATAAAATAAAATAACATTTGTTTTTACTTACATGTTGTCCTAATTTACCAGTGGAGAAAACGACAAAACAATTCAGTTTCTTAGTAAAAAATCATATTGTTTTATCTAACTGTATTTTTTAATAGATTTGTAACCATTGCTGCTTTTTTGTTCTGCAAGTTCTTGACCACACAAAAAATTATAACGGAGCTTTTAGTCCAGCTACCTTTGCTACTCAGACTTCAATTTCGTGCAAATTACGTGCCGTTTTACATCAAATCAGTAGGCATGCTGTGTTTTATCATAGATTTCTGATTTAGATGATCATGCATGTAGTGATCCTTCATAATCTAATATAGCACCAGCCCAAACATTATGCATCAATATTTTCATTTTTTTTAAACTTAAGCAAACCTTTAAACTATTAAGATTTTTTTGGTTCTGTAACCTTTTTAGAAAAACAAAAAGTGTCGGTTGGAGGAAATTAATGCAAAATGAAACGCGGAAATCAGGAGTTTGGGGAAAAAAATTAGATCTAATTGTCTCAAATAGTAAAAGCCATACTTTGCTACTTTTTCCTATTTTTAAATCATTTTCTTGAGCCAGTATGCGCTAAAACAACCCTTTACGGCACATGTGTCAGACACAAGGCACGCGGGCCAGACGTGGTATTTTTATGTGGCCCGCGAGAGAAATATCAAAAATATATTATAACTGACCCGCTGGCCGATTTTACCGCAAAGACTATAACTCCCATAATGCTTTGCGGCGTTAGCACGGAGCCGAAGCACCCCCTCTTTTGTGTTTTTTTTTTAGCGTCTGCTGCCGGTGTCTGCAGCTCCGCTGTCTCGGACAAACTAAACACTCCTCTCACTCAGCGCAGAGTTTACTCAGCTATTTGCCGACGTTGAAGCCCGGAAACTGAGATTTTAACTGCTCAGTAATGTGCTCACGACTGAAAGAGAAAGTTTTCCAACTAACTTCCAGACTGAGCTGATATAACTCCAGTGAGCAGCGACACGCTCAAACCAGCATGACTCTGTGGTAGGGCTGGGCGATATGGCAAAAATAGAATATCACGATTTTTCCAATATTTTATCACAATTTCTATTTTATCACAATTTTTTATCCATGAATAGCATAACTTCAATTGTGTATTAAAGAAGAGAAACATTGAATAAATAAACATTTATTCATATTAGGGATAATCAACACAGTGCTAACACACTTATATTTTAAACTCACACCAGAGATGATAAAAGCCCTGAGAGAAACAATTACAAAAATCAGTTTTCCTCATTTTTCAAGTAACTTAACATAAATTAAAATCGTAAACATATTTAAAGTGCAAACATGTCAATTGCAAACGTATTGTGCAAACATTAACTTGTTCAAAATACTATGTAGCTCCCAGTTGCTCATGTAGTGGATAGTTAAGCTCAAATACGGCTCTGATGTGCGGCTGGACCAGAGATCGCTTGTGGTAGCAAAAAACTGCGCATTCTGAATATTTTGTGCAACTCTCACTTTGCATTCAGCGTACATGCGTGGAATGGCGGTGTTCGAAAAATACTTGCGGCTGGAAAACTCGTAGCGCGGATCCAATGTTTTTATCATTTTCTTAAATCCCACTCCTACTGTTCGCACGGGACACAAATCTTTAGTGGTACGTCACTGCATCCGTCACACTGTTCCATCGTCTGCTGTCTCTGTCGTAAGGAGTGAGTTTTGTGAGTGTTTCTGTTAGCGTTTGCTGCCTGGAAGAAGCACTAGCCGCTGCAGCCGCAGGCTTTTTAGCTTTAGCTGCCACCTGGCTCTCATTGTATTGTTTGGGATGCCTTCTTTTCAAGTGATTAAACAAGTTTGTGGTGTTGCCATCACTTGCCTTGACACTCTCCTTGCAAACTTTGCAAATAACGTTTCACTGCTCTTTGTCATCTGGTGAAAATCCAAACCAGTTCCATATAATGGATAGGGATGGGTACCTTTGACATTTGAATCGATCCGGTACTAATTCCCGGTGCCTACGAATCGATACCTGTACTTAACGGTACCAATTTTCGATACTTTTGAGTGTTTCATATTTTAATTCTCTTTTATAATTAAATATATATTTTTCTCAATATATAACAATATTCGATAAATATCACAATAAATAACATTCAACTGTTTGTATTTTAACATCGTCCTTGTAGTTTTATAAGCTGATAATTAAACTCAAGCAAACATCTTTACTGTGAACTAAATTTACTGTGTATCGTCATTCCTTTTGCCATCTCTTTTCATTTGATTTTTCCTACTGGGAAGTTAGAATTTCCGAGGAGAAAGCGATCACCATTAGCTGATAACAACGGTGGCAATGGAAGCTAACATATCAAGCTAACATTATCTTTAACAGTTTATTTAACTGCTGGAGCAGATTAAAACGATGATGCCTCACACTTAGATCGTTGTCGCTGGTTTCATCTTCACCCAATCACCTGTCGCATTTTGTAAAGTGAAGCCAAACTTTAGAGCGCGTTCATGTTCATCTAGTCGGAAATTCGGAGTTACGAGGAGAAAGCGAACGCACCATTAGCAAAACGGAAGCTAACATATCAAGGTAACGTTATGTTACATTTTATTTACCTACCAGAGCAGATTAAGATGAGGATGTCTTACTTAGATTGTTGTCTGTCGCTGGTTTCATCATCACCCAGTTACCCATCACATTTAGTGAAGTGGACCCAAGCGTTAGCGTGTGTTCTTTCTACCATGCTGTTCTGTTTACAACTCGCTCGCAGGGACCGACGACATAACGCTCTTGCGTATGCGCAGCTTTCTTGGCAAGTTCTCGTTATGAAGGACGGGTACCGAAACGAGGCACTGTTTGAAATGACGTGAATCGGTGCTCAGTCGGTACTATAGAAAAGGCGTTCCTCTTCGGAACAAAAACCTCGTTGTTGCTCTCAGCCACGGCCGAAGCCATGTTTGTTCACACACAGGTGAAAACAAGCGGGGCACTAATATATTACTATGACTCACTCTGATTGGTTAAGGGTCAAACAAAGGCGTGTCATTCGCCTGGGGAAAGTTCCCTTTTCATTCAGAGGCAGAAATCCAACAGCAGAGCTGTGAATCGTGATAAAAAGGTCTCTCAAAAATGACAGACCATCAGATGTGTAGATCGTAAAACGGTCTAAAATCGTCATATCGCCTAGCCCTACTCTGTGGCTGCTGTTGTTTTTATTTTTCCTCCCCGACACACAACAATGTGGTCAAGCTGCTCAGACATGTTCAGCAGCACAAACCTATGTGAGCACCTGCTGTCATCTAATGTTGTCATTATTATGATGAAGATGAACAAAACAACAGGAGTCTCCTCCTCAGCTCAGATCAACCCCATGATGCAGGTATCTGGCTGGAACAGGTGAGCATCAAAGTAAACCAGTGGAGCAAACTGAGCTTTAAATATGTTGGTTTTATGCTCTTTTTCTGCTCCAAAACATGAAAGTTAACAGGTGAGATGTTGCATTTTCATTTAAGATAAAATGATATTTTATTTTGTTGTTGGCTTGTGAGAAAAGATTTAACCTACAGTAAACAGGAAGTGGAAAGGCTGCAGATAGATGAATAGAATAGAAAATCCCTTTATTGTTCCTCAGTGGGGAGAGCTAGATGTCACAGCAGCGATGACACTTATTACAGGAGAAAAAAAGGAGAATAAAAAATAAGAAAAACGAATAAACAACAAGAAAACATAAATCCTGAATAGATTTTAAAAATGCTGAATATACCACAAGTAATGAATACCACTGATGCGTTTTATTTCAAATGGACTCGCTCGTGTGTAATTTGGTTATTCCACATTCAGTGTTAATGCAAAAATAAGTTTGTTTCCAAATTGAAAGGTTCAAAATTGCATAGATGTTGATAAAGGAAATGTGCAAAATTGCTGTCACTTTTTCAAAAAATATTACGTTTGGCCCGTAACTTCGTCCCAGATTTTAATTTTGGCCCAGTGTGAATATGAGTGTGACACCCCTGGTTTACGGGGTTAATGAAATGTCATTCAGACCCCACTGCCCTCTGTGACCAGGATGTAGCACTTGCAACTTCAGAGTGTCTGTCCAGTCCCTGTTGGACTTAATAAGTGGAGCTGACATGCTTGGTGCTGCAGTCTGGTTCCACCATGTTCCCGTTCCCTGTTTTAGATCATGAACACAGCTGATTTCTTCCATTTAGAGATTAATCGCTCCTGTAGACACTAATGAAGGCTGAGAAGACATTTCAGCTGTTAGATTAAAGTGTTAAAAAAAGATGTTTTGCGTTGACTAACGGACACTAAGTGGTGCTAAAAGCAAGCCAAACTGCCTAGTCTCTCTTTTACACCAACATAAAAGCTTCTGTCGATTCTGATTTATAGACATTGTGGCTTTTTTCCAGGAAGTGATGATTCCACTAAAGACATCACAACACTTCCTTTTCAAAGCTCTTTTGAAAACCCCTTTAAATGAGGAAGCATTCTTTCACAACTGAAACCGTGTAACACAAAGTTAAACCGGTCGGCTGAGGTAGATTAAATCGTATTACAGTAAATCTGCTGTACAATCGACTTTTCTCCTCACCTACAAGTTGAATGGCTGCAGCTGATTTTAAATGAATAAATAGAAACTTGACGGCAATAAAAATGTGCACTGGAATATCTTTTCTCCTTGCTGTTAAATATTAAAATGTTGTTGCAACACGCTGGTGCACACAAAAACCAGCCTTGGTGGAGACGTGGCTTTTCTGAAGGTCACAAAACGTCCTTGCGTGTTTGAGCGTGTTTGGATCCACACCGGGTCATTACGACCTTGTTTCTCATCAGCCAATTATCGTTTCGAGTTCCCTTGTGTTTAGCAAAATTTCCATGAAATATGGCTGCTTTCCGACTGATAACAAGGTTATTTTGACTCATTTAGAGCAAACTTTTACACATTTACCTCAAGAACAAGAAGCTTCTTGTTTTTGTCTCTCTTTAGGACAGCAAACTTGCTGTCCTCATTGGGGATGTTGTACCTCTTGATGTCCAAATTCATCTGACTCTCTTCCAGATACAGCAGAAGCTGGAATTTCTCAGTGTAGTTCTCCCAACTCAACGGACTCTCCAGCAAGGTCCTCCTTACGACCAAGAGATGTACAGTGGCAGTTTATTATCATGGAAGCTGCTGAACCAATTCCTCCACTTCCTGATGAACTGATTCACCTGCTGTCTGAGTGATGAGGCTGCTTCAGAGACTTGATAAGCTGGTTCACGTAAGCTGGGACCCGATACTGTTTCAACTGGACCTCATTCTTCAGCTGCATCACAGAGAGTCTGTTGGGAATGACATAAAAAAGAAAGAATGTTTCACATTTCATCCCCCAAATCAGAAAAACTCAGGACAACGTTAAATATTACAATTTCAAATCAAACTAATCTCTCGCTCAGTGAAGTCATCACTGCACCGTGTGGATGATTTTACTTGCAGAATTGCACTTTTTATGACAAACAGTAACCATGATAAAGTATTGAGATAATTATAGTTTATTGATATGGATTTTTACCTCCACTAACCCTCCCATCTCTTTAGGGAATGAGCTGCAGGCCTAAGTTACAAGAATCTAAATTAAAATGAATTTTTTTTTAAACTCACTGAAAGTTTGTTCTTTCTACAATTAAATAATGAATTATTGTTTTACGTTTTTTTTTTTTTTTGGTTCTTTTAAAACAGATTTTGCATTGTATCCAATCTTGCTGTAATTACTGATTCTACTAAGTAAGGATCGTACCCATCAGGCGGCTGTCCGTCCACGATCTGACACTTCAAGTCGGCGGTCAAAGCATATACGGAGCGAGCCTTGTAGGGAGTGACCGGCTCCAGCAAGCGTCCTAAAGAAGTGACACACTTAGCCTCGATGTAGCGAACAATATGAAATGAGTTGGAGGATAGCGAGTCTGGTTTAAACTCGAAGGCCAGTGTGGCTGGAAAAATCCCAACAAAGCTGCAGCTGAAGAGAACCTGGATCTCATAGCTGTCACCTGAAAACAAAACAGGTACAAACCATTTATTAAAAGTCTGCATCAGTTAAAATAAAGAGAAAAAACATGACTGGTGATGGTTTCATTACCTGGCTGTAGCAGCAGAGGGTTCACTTTGGTCACTCTGTGCTCATCGAACAGTTTCAGGAAACTGGCCCAGTGCAGGGGGGTGTAGTAAATGAAATGAATCGGCTCTGTTCCAGTGTTTCTCACCTTCAGCTTGATTTCATACTGTTAAAGAAGAAAATAGGGTTTTAATTATGTTTAAATGGGCGACAGGAAGAGGAATCCTGCAGATTTAGTAGCATAAATACCTCATATGTGTTTTCCTCACACACGATGAGTTTACCGTTCTCAAACAGGCCATCAGAGGTGATGCTGATGCCATGTTTATCAGAGATAAGCAAGGTTCTGAGTGGCAAGAGAGCAACGCTTAAAGGTCACTGGAATAACGCCAACAGTGTTTATGATGTTAGAGCATTTCTTTATTGTTTCATGAGTGTTATGTAAAGATGCATAACATAATAAATGTATGCATCTTACTGATCTTACACACTTTTATATTTTACTGTTTGTGCAAAACATAATAAATGAGTGTGGCTTTTCTACTTTAACACATGCAGGATTAAAGAAAAATAAAGAAGTTCACCCCATTACCTGTCCACTTTCAGTTTGTTCATCAGAAGACCGGCCAGTTTCCTACGGGCTCTCACTCCCGTCTCCACCTGATCTCCAGACCTCAGGTCCTGGAGGATGTCCAGACTGGCTCCTCCATTCAGGACAGGTTGTTGTTGTGTTTGTTTTCTGTTCCTGGGTGTGTGCCACTGGTCCACATACAGAGCTTTCACCTGAATAGAACCATGTCAGATGGTAAATGAGGACTGAGCTGTATAACTTTGTCTCCGTCACAAACAGCCATCTCAGTCTTGAAGCTGTGTGAGAAACTTTGATGAGATGTGTATCATGGAGTATAATCAGACTTGTCAATGTATGGAATTAAGTCTGGATTATGTCTCTCATTATGTGAAATCAATTCTAGGCTCTACAAGATGTATCCGTGTGTGTGTGAAACCAAGCTGAAAAGGCCTGTTACCTTCTGTTCTAGTGTGTGTATGTATGTGTGTGCCCTGGCAGTAGCCGCCTGAACTGTGATGTTGTAAATTAATGATGTGCCTTCACTCTGCTGATATGGTTAAAAGATTCATGTTGTGGATTTAACCTGTCTTGACCTGAAAAAATGTTGGGAGTAAGCATGTATGTTATCTATTATCCTCTGTGGAGTTGGTCAAGATACTATAAACATATAAATAAGACATCTTGTCTAACTAATGTTGGAGATGACCAGTTGACCCTGGGCAGAAGAAGAAAAGGGAGGGGGTGACCACACGTCTCCCTCTGCTGACCAGCTGGAGATGGCCATTAAGACTGGGCGAAGAAAAGGTGACATCATGACATCCAAGATTTATGGTCTCTTCGGGGCCGTTGGGAGAAGTAACAAGAAGAGGAACACGTGACCAGGAAGTCTGAAGAAGCAAACAAAGAAATGACTATGAGGGAGGGGGGACAGTAAATAAAAAGGAGCTACTTGGTCTGGAAGAGGGCCTTTTGATGGGAAGAGTTTGTGAGGTAGAGAGATGGAAAGAAGGAAGCTTTTGCTTTGAGCTTTTTGTCTGTGATAATCTGGCCTAGTGTCATTTTTGGAGAGCTTATTCAGCTCAACTTTGCTATAACTCGGTTTATTGGCAAAGAGTTGTTTCACTTTTTAACCCGCTTTGTTGGGGTTTCGTTTGGATTATTATTCTTTTTTCATCTGTGTGAAATAAAACCTAGTTCCTCGGATTCATGGAACGAACAAAGGATTTACGAGTGGGGTCTCCTCCTGTCGGTAACAGAGCAAAGGTGAGATGCTGGTTGTAAATGCTATCCCTAGGTGTAATTGATATAAGTGTTTCCTCCATCCTGGGCTATAGGTAAAGTCAGTTGTCTCCTCAGCATAAAAGGAACAGCTGGCAAGAGTCTTAACCTGAAGTGTACATAAGCTTCATGGACATGGATTGTGAGTAAACTGAGTCTCCCTTGAGCTGCATGAAGTTGGTTTTGCCAGAATCAGAGTCTAGGTTAGCGGTGATTGCTAATCAGCTCCTACAAAGTGCAGGCATTTTAAAGAGTGGCTGGTGAAATGCCCACGCAAATAGAAATACAAATCAACCCTGAGATGTAACATCTGTTGAAGAGTTAGGCTAGCTTGGGAAGATGGCTTGTAACAAGATGGAAGATCGTTGCAGAGCATGGAGGTTTCTTCTGGTCGCCTGTAAGACTTCAGAGACAACCTTAAACTTCAGGAAACTTTATTAGTGCATCACAATTAGACAATGCACTGAACAGATCTGTGTGCCGAATCTGTCCTTCTCTAGAAGAGGAGGCTAAGCTCACACACATACCAGGGCTGCAACCACCCAACACTCCTTGGTGTCCGTTCACACACAAGGTCAGGAACTCGTCAAACATAAAACTGCTAGTCAGGCCGGCGGTGTCTGGACTGTAAACAATCTTTACTCCCAAGAGGACCCTTACTTCCATCTCCAGAGCAAAGGCCAAACAACGAGGTGACAATTTAATTAGGACTGGTGTAATGAGACGCTGCATACTTATCTTTTCAAATGTGACATTCAGAAAAAGAAAATCTGGTCAATAGATTTTTAACCTGACCAGAATTCAGAGGAGGGTTCTGGGGATAAAGGTGTGTAAGAAAACACACAAATGAAGGAATGAATTAATGAATGAGCATCCACTGCAAATAATATCAGGAAATCATTTTGACATATTCAGCCAAATTAACTCCATTTAATCATTGCACTTATGTTCCTTCTAGAAAAATGGCATATTTAAAGTGATAATTAAAAACAGAGTTTATTCATATTGAGTCTAATAAACCAGAAATATCTTTCCACTGATGTCTTTGATAAATCCAACTAAATTTAAAATCTAAACCCTAAAATTTCACCTAAATTATGTTTTGTTCTGCTCTGATTTGCACAATCTTACTAAAAAAGTCAATTTGAGAAGTTATTTCTCTAGATAACAAAACATTACACTTTTTTTTGTCTTCGTGGCCGTTTCTTCTTCAGCGCTTTGGGCTTCCTGACAGGGTTGCGGAAGGCGCTTTATAAATAAAGCTTTGATTGATTGATTGATTGATTGATTGTTCTTTTTATGTTAAACATCACAGTAATATTAAGGAGAATCACTGGAGCACGTGATCCTCACTAGGGTTTACTGCATGATGTTTAACCAGAAACATAAAACATCAGCTGTTCACTTTGTACAACAAGTTCTGCAGGAAATCATCATTTTATTAATTTTATATTTATTTAGGCTTACTAGTTCAAAGAAATAATAAAGTAGGTATTAATATGCATACATTTTTAGATCTATTCATTTATTTTTTGTTGTTGTCAAAAACACTGAGTGCCATCCAGTTTCATTGTTTTCAGTGACCCTAAAGGTTTTCTCGTTCTGATATTTGAATAAATCCTTGTAATAAAATATTTCAAATACATTCAAGTCTTTTTTATTCACATACATTATTTGCAGCTGTTTATTTACTTGTAAACTTGTGTAAAATATTGTAGGCATACCCACCTTCGAGTTGAAGCGTATTGTTTCTCTTCTTCTGGTAACTTTGTTGTACGCTTTCAGAGCGTAAAGAACAGAACCAAAGTTTGGATCTTTGGCCCCTGAAGTTCTGCAATAATTAATAATAATCAAATTAACATAAACTGAAATGCGCAGTAAAAATCTTAACCACTAGAATCTCACCTGCTCCTGAACTCAGTGTTGTAAATGTCTCTTAGTTCGACTTTCTCCGTGATGGATGCTCGATTTGTTTCGTTCAGAAACTCGAAGAAGTCCAGACCGACCTGGCAACGCGCGCGTAAAGTCATTTTGTTCCCAATTCCCTCAAAGCGCTCGGGAGACTCTCCTGAATACGGATGTAAAGCTGATGAACTTGGTCGATCCTCAGACAAAACAATGAGAGGTGGGTTTGATCTGAATTTCCTGATAGTCAAGACGGGCGGTGTATCTGTGACATGGAGCTGCAGCGTGAGGACGGGCAGGCTCGAGACTTGAAACAAACACAATTGAACTGTAGGTGGATCCGAAGAAACGAAACTTAACTAGATGAAGCCTGTGATGCTGCTAGGGTGGTGTGGAGTAGCAGTCAGCAAAAAAAAAAAAAAAAAAAAAAAAAAAATTGGCTGGCAGTGAATGCGTCACGTAGCCATTAGAAACTAAATGAATAACAAAATGTAAAAAAAAAAAAGCACTAAAAATAATTCATTTTTTAGTTAGATTTTGCTTTTTGATCAAATAAAAAACAATGATTCATGTTTTGTCCCTGATTCAGTTTTAACACAGTTACAAAAATGGTGTCATAAGAAACAAAACTTAAGTATTCCAAAAATATTTTTAAACATTGACAAACCAAAATAATTGACAGTGAGTTTTTTGATGCATCAATTAGGCAAATCAATTTAGACAAAATAAGAATGTCTGCTGTGGGACTGGGAGATTGCGGTTCAAATACCAAAGAAATGGGACCCAGTGACTCCCTGATCGACACTCAGCTTTAAAGAGCAAGTCACCCCCTACCAGAGTTTTACTCCACTCCCACTTCCTGTTTGAAAAATGCAACAAATGCCGTTGCCTAGCTACAGAGAGAGCGGAGCCGCTAACAAGCACACACACACACACACACACACACACACACACACACACACACACACACACACACACACACACACACACACACAGGCTCACAATGACATTGTGACATTATATGGTACCAGCTAACATTCTAGGGTACCTCTTAGCCATAGTGATGGCAGATTTAAATTCAAATGCAGTGCAGTTTTTACCCGACAATGGCACAACAGACAGTTTTAGGCAGAAAATAAAAATATTAACTAAAACGCACTAAAGTGCAAAATTGCACGTGTCTGCAGCATGATTAGACATGCATTTGTATAGTTTATCAGAACAAATAAAGTTGATTTGGGGGTGACTTGCTCTTTAAGGGGTTGGTATGGGGGTTTAAACCATCAAATAGTTTCATCACTCTCCACGGGGGTGGGTCAAATGCAGAGATGTAATTTCAGTGAGTGATGATGACTAATGGGACTTTAACTTAATTTTAATTTCTCTTCTCACCACTTAGCAGTGGAAGATAAACACATTGCTGACAAAGCTAAACTTGACTCTGAAGTTAGTTTCAGATTCAGTTCCTCATCAGGGGTCATATCAACTCTGGTTAATAAGAAGCAGAATTTTTAAAATACAATATTTGATTTTGGATCATTTTTTTATTTAGATAACAGTAGAATGGGGTTCTTAAACATTTAAAAATACATTTTTTATTATTTTATAATGAAGTCACCAGTTCTTGTGTGGAGGCAGAAGGAAAAAGACTCTTAAACTGAAAGGATGAACCAGAGATGTGAATATTTACATAAATGTTTTAGGCACTTAGTCGCCAGTAGGCTTTTAAATAATATATTATAACATTATTGAGCATCTAAATAAAGGGTTTCAATAGAAAATTTGCAAAACATAAAAAGAAAACAAAAAAAAACCCTGTAAATTTGTAGATCTATAATAAGACTGAATAACTAGAGTATCTCCAGCTAAAAAACGAGAGAGAAAAAACCCTAAGGCGAGTTTTGGGTCTCATTTGGCTGAACAGAAAATAAAATAAGTTGTTCTTAATCATTTATTTTTCTTCTACTATTAGCCCTCTGATGCATGAATTATGAAATCTTCAACCACGATTTTTTAAACAATTTTTTCATTCATCTTTAGGTGTGAATGAAACAAATTTCAACAAATATTTTTTGTACCATTTTGTTAATTTACAAATAATTTATTACATGTCCATCTCAGTGGACAGCGTGCATTCTGAACATGAAATATGTTGGCTTGACTTACTGAAGTCCAAATGGAGGGGCTCATAAAGTCTTCAACAGCTGTACTTAATAGCAAAAATAAAGAAAAAACTTTACCTGTCCACTGTAGTGACCATTATGCATCAAAGGGTTAGAGACATATAGAAACATATGAATGTTGCTGTTCTGGCATTAACATGTGAAATGTGATAAAAACATTAATTTAGATTGATTTTACTCTTTAATTTCAATCAGCTTGACGCTAGAACACAAGTACTGGTGAAAAGAGGAGTGTAAATATAATTTAGCATCTGATTTATTTGTTTGTTTATTTGTTTATTTATTTGTTTATTTATTTATGTATTTGTTTGTTTGTTTATTTTTTCTAAAATGTTGATAATGATGACTTCAACACCAGGTTCATGTTTAAGTTTTCTGCCTCTAGTTTTTGGCCACTAGGCGGAAATGCAGACTAATTTTTGCTTTGAGCCGACATCATGTTATAGCATCCATGATTCATCTTTTCATGGATAAATGTAATGGCCTGTTATTTTGGGAATCTACTATATTGCAATATTGAAATATTTTTCACAAACATCCACTTCACTGTTACTGTTACTGAGTGATGTAAACTTTTAAATCGTGTTAGCTTTATGATCAAAAGAGGAGTCTGTTTACTACTGAAATACCTACAAGATTCAATTAAATTTACATTACATTTTAACATTTAAAAATAAAGTATTGTGTAGAGAGACTAGCAGATTATTGTATGGAGTGATTGGAGACATGAATGGAGAAATGTGCAGTTGAGATATGATTGTGTGCAAATAAAATAACAACAGAATTGTGTAGTTACACAAGCAGTGCAGAGGCAGAAACTGTTTACTGGTTGTTCTGGGATCACTGGCTGTGTACAGCTGCTGGGAGGAAGGACCAATATAATAACATTTCTTTGTGCACCTAAGATGCAGCATTCTGCCACTGAAGGAGCTCTTGACAAAAACATCATGGGTAAGACACATTGTCTAATAGTAATGTTATTGTTGTTAAACGAAAGAGTCCCATTTGGTCTTTTAGGCTTGTCCAAGGGTGGTTGCTGAGGGAAAAACTTTTTCTGGACCACCATCAAGAGGTGGGAGCAATGCACTACCACTGCTGTTTCTGGTGAGGATTGTGTGCTACTGAATTTGACTCGAGATGTCGTGGGTCGGTGGGCGGAGTATTTTGAAAACCACTTCAATCCCACTGACATGTGTTCCTGGTACTGAGGTCACTGAGAGGGCCAAAAAGCTCTTTAATGGCAGGAATCCAGGGATGGTCAAGATTTGCCTGGAGTTTCTTAAGGGTCTGGATGTTGTGGGGCTGTGTTGGTTGACGTGGTTGTGCAATATTGCCTGGACATCTGGGGCATTTTCTTTAGATTGGCAGACCGGGATGATGGTCCTAATCAAAAAGGAGGACTGTAGGGTGCGTTCCATGTACAGGGGATCACACTCATAAACCTCCCTGAGAAGGTCCATCAGGGGTTCTGGATGGAGGGTCCACCGGATAGTCAAAGAAGGAGCAATGTGGTTTTCTTCCTGTTCATGGAACACTGGACCAGCTCTATATTCTTAGCAGGATTGAAGAAGGTGGATGGGAGTTCATCCAGCCAGTTTACATGTGTTTTGCGAAATTCGAGAAGGCATTTGACCATGTAAAGAAAGAAAGAAGGAAAGCGATCTTTTATATAGCGCCTCTGAAGATAAAAATCACGAGGCGCTTCATCTAAACAAAAAATATAAAATATAAAAAAATACATTTTTCATTATTAAAATTTTTTTTAAAATGACAAAAAATATAATTTGTGATTAAAAATGTAAGGAAATGGAGAGAGAAAAGGAATAGGAAAGCGGGAAATCGGTGGATCCCGGGAAAGGCGGAATAGGTAGAAAGATCTGAATAAGGAGAGGGTGGTGATGAAGGTCACACCAAAGCCAGCTTGAACAGGTGAGTTTTCAGCTGCTTTTTAAAGGAGACCACTGAGTCCACTGATCTCAGGCTCAGGGGAGAGAGTTCCAGAGTCTGGGGGCCACAGCAGCAAATGATCTGTCACCTTTGGTCTTTAGCCTGGTGCTGCACAACCAGTAGGCTTTGATCACTGGACATCAGGGTCCTGCTGGGGGTGTAGGGACTGAGAAGATCACCAATGTAAAAAAATAAAATAAAATAAACTATCATCACCATCAGTTGTTAGATCTTGTTTTGTCCACCTACGTCATCTTTCTTAGATGAAATCATTTCTGTTAAAACCTCATCTTGAAACAGTGATTCATGCTTTTATAACAGCCAGACTGGATTATTGTAATTCACTCTATGCAGGAATCAATCAGGCCTCCATCTCTCAACTCCAGTTGGTCCAAAACGCAGCTGCCAGATTTTTAAAAGGAACCAAAAACAGGGAGTACACTACTCCTGTTTTAGCCTTGCTTCATTGACTCCCGATTCATCATCGAATCAGCTTTAAAATCATTTTATTTGTTTATAAGTCCCTAAATGGCAGTGCTCCTTTGTACCTGTCTGAACTCCTGCAGCCATATGTCCCATCTCGCTTGCTCAGATCTGCAGAACAGCTGTTGTTGGTTGTTCCAAATGCACAATGGAAATCCAGAGCTGACCGATCTTTTACAGTACTTGCCCCAAAACTCTGGAATGACCTCCCTCTTCATGTCAGACAAGCTCCATCACTTGTTGTTTTTAAGTCTCATCTGAAAACACACTTTTATTCCCTGTCCTTCAGTTAAGAATGAGCTGTGACACTTTTTTCTTTTATAGTTTGTCTTATGAATTTCTTTTAATCTTGTATTTAATATTTTTACTCTTTTTAACTTTTCTTGTACCTGTTATTGTTATGGGTATCTTTTATGTTTATTTTAGTGTCCAGCACTTTGGTCGAACTTTGTATTCTTTTTAAAGTGCTTTAAAAATAAAGATGCCCCGCTAAGCTAATGTAAGATGGTGCTTGTCCATGTAAGGCCCTATAGACCAGAACCAGGATCTTGAAATGAACCCTGAAGTTGACTGGCAGCCAGTGAAGCTGGAGGAGAAGTGGGGTAATGTGGGTGTGTTTGGAGGACTTGGTCAGAAGTTGAGCACAGTTCAGGGAGGTTTTGCTCAGCAGGTGAAAATCGAGTTGCAGTAGTCTAAATGTGAGGAGATGAAGGTGT